CCTCGGCCTTCTCAGTCTTCTTCTCGGCCTTCTTCTCGGCTTTCTTCTCAGCCTTCTTCTCAGCCTTCTTTTCGGCCTTGGGCTTGGTGTCCTTCTTGTCCTTCTTGCCGCCAGCGGGAGCGGGGTCGGCGTTGGGGGAGCCAAGCTGGGAGATGAACTCGACAAGGGCGACCTTCTTGAAAGCGCCGTCATAGACGATGGGGTCGGCGCCGCCGGCGGGCAGCAGCACGAGCGAGGGGAAGTTCTCGACGCCGTACTTTTCGACAACCTCCTTCTGGTTGTTGCGGACCTGGCCGAGGGTGACGACGTCCAGGAAGTCAATGGCGATGCTCTTGGCCAGCGAGCTGGTGGTGCCCTTGTCGGTGAAGAGCAGGGCCTTGGGGACGTCGGCGTCGGCAAGGAAAGTATCCAGGTCGGCGTCCGTGACCTTCTTGACATGGTTGTTGATCTTGGTCTGGACAGCGTCGACGATGCCGCTGGCGGTCCGGGCGCCCTGGTAGTCCTCAACAACGGGGCGGCCGACCTTCTTGCCGGGGCGGACGATCTTGAGGGTGGGGAAGCCCTGGATGCCGAACTTGGAGCAGAGGGGCTTGTTGGCGTCGTCGTCGCAGTTGACGGCAGCGACCTTGGCGAGCCCGTCGAGCGACTTGGCGGCCTTTTCGTAGGCGGGCTTGAGGTTCTTGCAGTGACCACACCAGGGCGCGTAGAACTCGACGATGGAGGTGTAGTTGGACTGGGCGATCAGGCGGTCGTACGACTTGCCGTCAACGTTGAGGACGGCGGAGGATTTGGGGTACATGTTCTCAGCCAGCGCGCCGGGGGCGGCGGCAAGGGCGAGGATGCCCGCGGCGATGATGCCGTGGTGATGCATTGTGTAAGTGAGGGAGTGATGAGATGAGAGAAATTGGGCACGGCAAGAGGAAGGTGGGAGGAGTTGGGGTAAAGGAGGAAGAGTTCGAGATTGGTGTGTGGATCGAGCTGACTTCGAATATAATGGTTGTCCGGCCACCGGTGGTGAATGTTGGCTTCTTTCCTTGCCTGGGTCAAAAGGCCAGCGTGGAGGATACGAAAGGGTGGTGAGAAGCAACCCGTGGTTCCATCGAGACACTGGCGGCAACGGCCCCTCCCTCCCGAACCCAGCCACCGACCCCACAGGAGCTACAGCTTGAGCCACCGAGCTGCCGGATGACAAGTGGCTACTAGAGCTCCTATTGACGGATCGCAATGCGGGGGAATTTGGCCCCCCATTGTCTGCCTTGGAACCTGCATGTCCACCGGCGACCATCTGACGATTCCGACCTGCATTTCGACCACGACCTACCCTCAAATTGGACGCTGTCGCTTTCGCCTCAACTCTCCAGATTCTTTCCCCGAACTGAGCCTTGCATATTTTGAATATGGCGGACATCCCGGCAAAGCTGCGCCAGGCAGACATCACGAGGTTCCTCAACCGCGGGAACCAGTTGCGCCAGTTCAAGCCAGCCATTACCTATTGGTGTACGCCATGCCCGACTTCCGTACTTTGATGCCATTGCTGACAATTGACAGGCGAATACTGGGCTGTTCGGCAGATCCTTATGAAGCAACTGCACAATGCCGACGACGAGTGCCTCGCCTTCACCACCAACCTGATGGACCAGCTGGAAAAGGTATGTCGCGCAAAAGACCACCAGCTCATCCCCCGCTGACACTACCATCGCAGACAAAAACAGAACACGCCGACGAAGAAGCAATCACAGACGAGGCCGTCGGCCAAGCCCTGGTGGAACAATTCGCCCAACAGACATTTGACCGCGCTGAGCGCACCATGACCGCCAACAAGGTCACGCGACAGACCGCCGACACACTCGACGCCGCCTCTACATTCTTCCAGCTGCTCAACGCCTGGGGTCCTCTGGACGCCGAGACACAGAAAAAGGTCAAATACGCAAAGTGGAACGCGGCGCGTATTCTTCGCGCCATCAAGGACGGCGAGGACCCCAACGACTCAAACCCGAAGCACGAGGAGCCCTCGCTGCCCGAGCTTGATCCTGAAGACCCCGATGTCCAGCTGTTGTCTGGTACCCCAGGCCCGCGTCCTGTCACTGTCGAGGACGACCCCGACACCGAGTTCTACAACCGCCAGACTACCGAGTCATCTTCAGCCGCCGCACAGGCGCCTCCCGCCCTGCCAGACACTCCCCTTCCAGAGCCTGTCTCACAGCCGCCTCCAGACTCACCAAAAGACGGTGGACTTCCGCAGCCCGGCGGCGGAGCCTCATTCCTGCCCTCCGTCAACGACCTCGGCCCACCCTCAGTCCAGACTTCGGACTATTTCCCTCCCACTGAGCCATCCGCGCCGTCTCCCTCGAGCGTCAACCCCCCACATACGTCAGTTGAGCCTCCATCCGTGCCCACTTTCCTCCCGGATCGCACCGCGGCCAGCCCTGCGGCGGACGAGGATGGATGGCCAGCACCCCGGACCCCGCACCCTCCTCCGGCGCCGCATGTCAAGACGGTCAAGTCGCCCCCGGCTCAGCCCAGCAGACACCAGGCCCCGCCGCGCCAAACCTTCGTCGAGGACCCGTTGCCGTAAGTTCCATATGCTTATCTGAGAGTGGACGACATCTGACAAGAAGCAGTGCGGAGGTCGAGGGCGACATCCCTGGTGCCACCAAGCACGCACGCTTTGCCATCTCGGCGCTTAACTTTGAAGATGTACCGACGGCGATCAAGGAGCTGCGGGCGGCTCTGGAATCCCTGGGCGCGAGGTGACTGTCGTCGGAGGATTAGCCAGGACACGGCATGACATTATGCAGCGTACTCAGCGGTGGTATGTATTCTTCAGCGAGCTCTCATAATACCATTCATGCAGGGCTAGTAGGCTCATAACCCTACACAATGCAGCCACATCGTTTCGTTCCCTTTTCCAAGCCAGAAGTGGGTTTCTGGAGGATGACGTTCACAATGCTGCCTACGCGCTTGTGGCAGTTGAGGCCCGTGTACGAATCCTCTTCGCTTACCTGGCGATGCTTGCCTGTGATTAGAAATCGCAGTCGTCTTCAAACCGGAGTTTCCGCTGTTAGACCGGACATAACCATCCCATGTCGAGCGGGGAAGTCTAGACCGCGTAGTAAGCCATTTCCTGTGCCCCAAAATGCCTCGGCATGGGAATTGTTGCAATTGGTGATCAGGCCGCATCACCCACGATCGTGCCCGCAAATGGAGTGGTGGACCAAGTCAGCGCCCGCGGCGCCGCATATACCCGATAGACCCGTCGATTAGCGCGTCAACCATGCTCCCTAGAGCTCTGAGACAAACTCCCCCGCTTCCAGATATTTGGCGACGGTGACATCAGTATCAAGCGGTCAACATGCCGATTGTGCCGTGCCTCTTTGATTAGGTTTTGAAGGCCCAGGGGCGGGGAGGTATAAAGAGCATCGGGCGGCTCTTCAAGTTCCGACCTTGATACCATCGCCTCACTCTCAGTCGCATCGCCCTTCCACGATCCAACACATCAACTTCCACATCCATACCACATCATGTCCCTTCCCAAGACGTACAAGGCCTGGCAGGTGGAGAAGGCCGGCGCGCCATTCGTGCTGAAGGAGTTCGAGCTGAAGAAGCCGGGCCCCGGTCAGGTACTCGTCAAGGTCCTGGCCTGCGGCGTGTGCCACTCCGATGTGGCCGTGCAGGAAGGCCATATGGGCGATGTCTTCCCTCGCGTCCCCGGTCACGAGATTGTCGGCGATGTCGTCGAGCTCGGCGACGGCGTGAACAGGATCAAGAACGGCGACCGCGTTGGCGGAGCATGGCACGGAGGTGAGGTCACAATCGGTCTTCACAAGGCGTTAAGCAGGATACTGACAAATTTCCCCTCCAGGTCACGATCAGACATGCCGCTCGTGCAAGCGCGGCCAGTTCCAGTGCTGTGAGAACGGCGCCATCAACGGTGTCTCCAAGGACGGCGGCTACGCGGAATACGTCATCCTCCGCGCCGAGGCCGTCGTTCGCGTTCCCTCCAACCTGGACCCCGTCGAGATTGCGCCGCTGCTGTGCGCCGGCGTCACCGTCTTCAACGGCATTCGCAAGATGAACATTGAGCAGGGCAACCTCGTCGCCGTCCAGGGCCTCGGCGGTCTGGGCCACCTGGCCGTGCAATACGCCAACAAGATGGGCTACAAGGTCGCGGCGCTCAGCTCGGGCGCCTCCAAGAAGGACTTTGCCGCCAAGCTCGGCGCGCACGAGTACATTGACTCGAGCGCCGACGACCCCGTCAAGAGGCTCCAGGCTCTTGGTGGTGCTGCCCTCATCGTCGCCACCGCACCCAACCCCAAGGCCGTCGCGCCCTTGACTGCGGCCCTGCAGCCTGGCGGCAAGCTTCTGATCCTCGCGCCCGTCGGCCCTGTCGAGATCAACTCCATTGATCTCATCCTCGGCGGCCGCTCCGTCCACGGCTGGCCCAGCGGGCACACGATTGACTCGGAGGAAGCTATCGACTTTGCGAGCACGCACGGCGTCAAGTGCATGGTGGAGCCATTCGCCTTTGACAAGGCGACCGAGGCCGTTGAGCATATGATGTCGAACAAGGTCCGGTTTAGGGGCGTGATTGTGGTGGAATAGATGGTGGGTGGTAGAAGCAAAAATGGCGCTACAGACATAATTTCAACCACTTTTCGAGACGGCTCCACTGCTTTGGGATGTGAGCAATGCCTCAAACATTGTTCAGTTTGCTTGAAGTGCCCGGGTGCGCTTCTCGCCACCACAAGTAGGAATAGCTCTAAATGACGATTTTTTATTTTTATTTTTTTAAAAATCAAAAAAAAATCTGGGACATTCCTAAAGGTCCAAATCGTTGTTCTGCTGCATGCTGTTGCTGTTGCCGTTCTTCCTGCTGCAAAAATACGACGTCAAACCTGGAACACTCGCAAGAAGTGCCGCAAGACTCGGGAACAACTTCAAAAAGTCATAGAAAATTCCCCAGAGCCCGTAGAACATCCCATGATGCCCCAAAAAACAACTGTCGAGAGAGGGGTTCGAACCCTCGCCATTTCTGACTGCGGGAAGGGATCGTGACGTCACCAGCGACCAAATGGATACAAATGGTCAGAGTGTAACGTACTCCTAAACACAGCGCCTTAACCACTCGGCCATCTCGACGATATAAGGTAGTCGAGTGGTTCAAGCACTGGATTGAGTAGAAAGCTTCACTAGCACCACAGCGACCAGGAGCGAGCAAGACGTCCAAACCGAAAAACGTGTTTTAAGACCGGATTTTTGACATTTCCGGAGATCTGAGAGTACTCGGCGCTAGCTCTCATCGAGATCTATCGACTCTGTGGCTCAGAACATCCCATGATTTTTGGTTATTAAGAAAAATATGCTCGACGGTTTGGTCCCTGTCGGGGTGAGGCCTGTGGATCCACACTTTTTTTTCGCCGAATTTGTATCGATTGACCGTTTTCCTGTCGTCCGTAGGATCAAGTGTCCTCGTGGACGTATGTGCTCGCTCTTGTGGGAGCAGGATGTTGCTTCTGAGGCTTCCGAGCCTCAGATATCTTGCCCAGCCACTGCCGCTGCTTTTCCGGGCCCTCTTACTGTTTGAACTGGCGTGTCAGCTCGTGTAAGTTCTAACAGCGCCTGCTCACTCACGTAAAGTCATGCACCCTTGCCGGAGCTTCTCTGGGACAAGCATGCTGAAGCTCATCTCGCCCCAATTGATAGGTGGCGTGTTTTCTTTCCATGACCTGGCTCATTTCCATATCAGCTACCCCTGATGGAAAGATTGGCGTTGCGGCATCGTTTTGGCCAGCGACAGGACAAAGAAACCGGATAAGCATATCAGCCAAGTTCGGAAATGCACTTGCACGACGTCGGCTCGCCCGAAGGGTGGCCATTCTGCGCCGCAGGGAGGCCTTCTCCAGTGGCAGTGCAAAGCAGAGTACCGTGCGGACGCCTTGGCATGGTGCTTGTCGATTGCTGCTGTCTTTCATTTGCTCGTGGTCTTCTGGCATCTCAAATGCCATGTTGGTACCAACCGCCGTCTTGCAAATGCCCGAACCCACGTCGGTTGGCCCTGCAACTCAGGGTCTCGGCCCCTCTGAGCGTCGGGCAACGAGGCAGTGCCCTGTGACCCCTGTGATCGGCAGCTAAAATCCGGCTGGGCTGACGCTGCAGGGGAGAAGAAGGGCTGGGGGCCGCATTCTGTTCCACTACCCCAGACTCAACCCGCACAATCTCCGCTTTTCTGGGCGTCGTCTCGCCCGACGGAGGAGGGTGTTGGTTGCTGCTGGTTCTGGCCAAGACCTTCTGAGTGTGCGTGATTCGCGGATTCACTGCTCAGGTTGGACCAAATTGGCCCAAAAGTCAGGGGTCACGTCACCCGCATGTCCAGAGCTGCAAGATCCAGGCCGGGGTCGAAGGATTGCGGCTTGTCTTTTATAAAGCTTGGGATGCGTCTCCCGTTACCCAACCCACCACTGCTCCCTCACCCGCGGACATCAACTGCTACTTGCACCACCAAGCCCGAATTTCGCCCCTCGACAAGATACCCACGTTCATCCTGCAAGATGTCTGATATCAGGACTGGCGGATGGCTCACTTGGGAAAACGCCGGCCCCGTGACTGCGACATGGAGCGCTCCCGAGTCGTGCGCCACCAGCAGAGGTCTCATCCATAGGGGTCCCGCTAATCCGCCTTTCAACTCCTCCATAACAATCAACGTCGGCAAATGCGGCGAGTATGATGCCATCGCGGAGTGCGTTCCCAACGGCGACAAGGTGGACGAGATCTACAAGGGCGTGGATCGCGGGGTCATGCCAATCGTCAGTCACTACTACTCGCCTGCCAGCGTCTGCCCCCAGGGCTGGGCGAGCGTCGGCCACGCCGCCGTGAACAACGGCACCGCGACGTCGACAGGCATCTTCGCACCCACTGTCTTCTACGACGGCAGCCCCTCGACAACCCTCGACTTCCCGTACGCCAACTGGATCGCCAACATGTTCACCACCGTTCTCGAGCCTACCGAGACGGCCATTGCTTGTTGCCCCAGGTGAGCCGAGCCTCCAGCTTCAACAACAATTGATATCATTCTGTACAAAAGCTGACACAAGATACCTCAATCAGCGGCTTCACAGCTGACATGTACGCCGGCTGCTACTCCAACTTCCCCTTGGTCGACCTAGCCGGCAGCACGGCTTGCCGGGTCCGGTATTTGCCAACCGGCGATAACAATGACTGGCGGAATTCGCCCGTAGCGACCGAGACCTGGAGTTACGACGGAACGACGACAACAGAGGCCATCAGGGCCGGGCCCTTCACCTCGGGCTGGCGCGACTCGGACGAGGCTCACACCGAGTCGGTCCCATTCAACTCTGAGGGTTATCCCGAGGCGACTGGCACCCAGGGCGGCTACGGGTCCGACTACTTTGTTCAGGCCGTTGCCGTGGCCCAGCCCCTCTTCCTGATCAACGACGGCAGCGGCTCCAGCGAGGAATCTGCGGCCCCCTCCGAAACCGAGAGCGAGGCCTCTGCCACCCCTTCGGAATCTGGCACCGAGGAGAGCGCTGCTCGTGCGCTCGCGCCCAGCGGTTGGGGCATGGTCGGCGGTATCATGGCAGCTTGGGGCGTCAGCATGCTCGCCGGTGTTGGTCTGCTGGCCGCCTGGTGAGCAGCAGTTGCAGAGTTGTTGGCTGTAGATGTCGTCGTGAGCGATATACCCAGGTGCTCAACCAGACACGGGGGAGGGCATTTCATTCCTGCTTCCGTGGCCAAGGCTACTGTCGCAATAAACAATCATTGTATTTCCATCTTGAAAGCGGGTCATGCATGTAGTTGATCCTCGAAGCCCGGTTGCCGAGGGGCACCAAGTGAGGTTACACCAAAACGTCATATTCATCGTGTCCAGACAATGAAACGAATTTCAAAGCTAGGTGACGGCTGTAAGAAGTGACGTAGTAGTTGTCCTATGGCAAACTTTGGTAGCGCAAGGCAAAAGTGTCGAGAGTTGGGAGCTTAAAACATGAGACAAGGGTTCAACCGAACTTTTCATACCTGGACTCATTTCGACGCACATCATTAATGACCACTTCATCTAAACGCCGCGTGAAACTCAAGTTGCTCCAAATTAATGTCATACTTCGTGAGGTTGCTAGTCTAACCCCGGTCATGTCTGCTAACTACACCTCGACCTTGGTCAATGCAGCGTCTGATGAGGACGCCGACTTTCTCTGATCGGGTGCGACGGTTGATGTCGTAGCGACGCTACCGCGGTGCGGCTCCCTGTCGCTTGATATCCGTCCCAAGCTCTGCCACTGCCGTTCCAGCTCATCCTCGGATGTTACATTGACCGAGGTTGTCGTCATGACCATGATGGCGTCGCTCGGGAGAGTGTCCCGTACCGATGGTGGTCCGGAGCGTGGGAATCCTCGGTCGGCGGCGATGGTGACGCTACCCTTGCGAGGTCGTGGTGGTGCCAGGGTGACAGACTTGCCGTCTAGCCGACCGAGAGCCAGGGTGCCTTCGAGACATGTGTGCATCTGCTGGGAGCCGTCGAAGATGAAGTCCTCGCGGCAAGATGGGCATGGTGGAGTCTCTTGCATGGCAGCGCCGGAAGTGTTGGAGACGCTGCGCATGCGTGTTAGGTCCATGAGTTTGTTGAGGACGCCGAACTCGAGCTTGAGCTTGATGGTGTAGACGAAGGCCTTATAGGATGTCTGCACCTCGTAGAGCCCCGTGTATTCAAGACCCAGGATGGTGATATCCAGAAGAATGACGATGACGTTGACGCCAATGAGGTGATACAATGTCTTGCGACGTGTCGACGTCGGGTGGAGGATGGAGTGTCGGAAGAAGCGGATGGTTGCGGCAATGTACATCCCCGAGATGATGCACTCCTGGACGAAAAAGACCGAGACCTGGACCTTTTCGGCGATCGAGTAGGGCAGCAGGAAGCGGTCGGAGGCCGAGGAGTTTGAGCCGAAGATGAGCACGGCGATTGTGACGTGACACATGATGCCATTGGCGATGATCATGATCAGCACGCAGCGCAGCCGCGTTGGATTCCGGTCGACGAGATGTAGCCGTGAGTAGAGAACGACTGACTGGCCAGTGACAAGGCATGACCAGCCAATGACTATCATCGTGACGTAGACGAAGACAGCATCCTGTGTGTTGATCCCCAAGCCCTTGAGGAGGAAGCCGAGCGAGTATGGCACGATGCCAAAGGTGGCAACGCAGAAACTCCAGAAATACAGGCCATGGCGGTTACGGAAAGAGGTGAATATGAGTACCGCGAGCTCGATGACGTTGTAAAGTGCGATGGCGAGGAAAACCACGATGGGCAGGGTATAATTGAGTCCCTCGCTGCTGTTGCTGACGATGCCGTTGTCGATGTCGAACATGATGCGTGGGGATCGCGGAGGCCCGCGAAGGCTCCGTTCAGACGGAACGGAACCAATGTCACCTTGAAGGGACAGTCAGAGTGTCGACCATGCTTGCTGGGGAGGAATTGAGGTCGTCGTGGAATTTGTCGGTACGAGGTTCGATGGGATGGGAAATCAAGTCTAGTGCGGAGGCAGGGGGCGGCAGAGGTGTATAAAGGGGGGGGGAGACAAGAGGACTGCCCGAACGAACGTCACTTGAATGAATGACGACTGACTAGCAGGCGGAGCAGTCAGCTCGGCGGCGAAGAACCCTAGTCCTTGAAGGTCGCCAAGGGATGGAACGACTCGGGTCGAGGAAAAGGGGGGAAGAAGGGATTGGCTGTACGGCAGTTGTTGCATGGAGCAGGTTCTCTTGGTTGGGTGGTATGGAAGTGTTAGTTCGAACTTCTAACCCGGCCAGATTGAGGAAAACGCCGTCCCGGTCCCAGCAATTCGGTCCCTTTGTCTCCCTCGCCGCTTGCTCTTGGCTCCCTCGCCTCCTTTTGGCACAAAGCCGGCGCGACGATTATTACGAGGACGGTTCGTCACATATGCAGACAACCTCCCCCCCCCTCGCAGGTCCCCGAAGTCCCCCCTCCCCTTTTCTCACGAAAGGACTCCGATAGAGACCGGACGCTCCAGCCCAGTGCTGAGGTTAGGCGGTGCCCGGGGCCCGTTCGGGATTGGCAGGGTCCAGGGAGAGGTGGCGTGGTGATCGGCCGAATGAGCGCTACCCCT